TCCTACGTAGGACTTTTTAACTCCTACGTAGGACTTTATAACTCCTACGTAGGAGATAAAAAAATCCTTATTAGGAGTTTAAAAGTCCTACGTAGGAGTAACAAACCCCTAATTAGGCTTTTTTATCTCCTACAACAGGAAAGGTAAACAATACTTTTAATATACACTTTACTTTGTATATCGTTAAAGGGTTTAAACATGCTAAAACGATAAGCAATTCACTCAGTTAAGGAGTAAAATATTTCATGAATCAAGTAACGTAACGTCAGGGGATGTAACTGGTAATATATTTTAGGACTGTTATCTGAACAGTTTGATTCAATCTGAACCGTTCGATTCATGAAACATTTTACTTCCTGCCATATAACAATTAAATATTCACAGAATCTTTGAGCATATGAGGTATGGCTGTTTAATCGGCCTTTATTTATCACAAGCCCTATCATTAAAATACTTTGCTGAATCTTTATTTGGGCTATTTTAAAATATGACAACATATGTATAAATTTACAAGAAACACTGTGGATAAACGGATTAACGAAATGTCCTCATTCGAATATTGCAAACAATCACAAATTTGTTAGTTATTGATGTATGATTGTACCTTTTCTTTATTGAATATGTCTGTTTCACAACCAATCTAGTGCAGTTTTCTTGAAATTAAGTTTTACCATTGGCACAAAACACGAAATTTGTGTCGGACCGGTTTCTGATTTGGAATTTATTCACGAAAAGCATGCTAGATGTACGCAATTCATTTTGTAATATATAACCTTTTTATCTATTATATTTTCCGAAAAGAAAATCATTTATATTCTTGAATAAATTCTGGAAATGTGCCACACGTGTAAGATCAATATTGTATATTTTCTTGCAAACTCATAAGAAATCATCTGATTTGTTTTCTTGCTAGCTATATATATGATATCTTACTAGTTCAAGTGGTGTCTAAAACAAGTTGTATCACTCCCAGCGAAGCCATTTGGTAACTTTCAGGTTTTAAGATATATAGGAATTTGAGTTAATTTAAACAAACAACGATGGGGTTTCTTAATGGTTGCTATCAAGCGCAAGATGTAATGCAATTTATTCGCTGAAGTCTCACGAGGCCATGCAGTCATGTTAACAAGAGTGTTCAGAAATTATATTTTCTTAGCATTCCTTGATGCACTGTCGATGTTTTTATTTTATGATATAACAAATGAAGTTTTAGTATATGCACCATGTGATTTTCTGATATATATATCATTATTTGATTAAATGATATGAATTAAGATAAGATAAGATAAGTACAAACTTTCCATATCAAATTCATATTGCACTCTTTATAGTGTCATTTCTTTGTCAGAGTCCTACAAACTCGCAAAACCGCCGCCGTGGTCAAGAGGTTAGAGTCGATGACTTCTAATCCAATTACCTCTCTGGAGTGGGTTCGATCCCAGGGAGACGCTTTGGTAGTTTAACGCAGAGGAAGCTAGTCTAGTACTGGTGTTACTCTCTAGGAACGATGGTAAGGAAACTACCCGCCTATATAACTGAAATACTGTTGGGAAAAGGCGTAAAATGAAACAAACAAACAAACTCGCAAGAATTCATGCACATTATTTTTTTAACTCGGACGATGTCATACAGTGTCGTTGCAAGAAATCATACGGTCATGGTCCAACACTTTGCCCAAAATTTTAATGCTTTTGTCACAATACGTCCCGTGGAGCAGCTGGCAAATATATATTTGTTAACAATACTGGTTTGATTTTAAATAAAGTGCATGTTAAAGGTTTGAATATTGTGTGTCAATGAATGCCAATACTTACTCAGCACGTTTCCTATCAGTTATTCGCTGTGCTATAATTCCATCAGGAATAGTCATAAAATACATCAATAATTATTCACATCATTAGAAAATATAATTACTTATTCCCTTTTTCAGGTTGCAACACTTGGATGATCACCAATTGATGTATAACTTCTCGATTTGACAAACTTAATAATTATCATTATTTATCAAGGGAGATAACTTTAAAATATAATGAGCGACAAAAATTAAAAAATTACCTTGCCAAAAAACTAGGATTTATATAAGTTTTCGAGAAATGAAAGGCCAAAAATTGTATGTCAGTTTTAAAAAGTTATATGCGCCGGTATTAACAAATATACATTTTATTTGATTTTTTAAGGAGTTGGGAGCTCAACACCGCAAATGTCTGTGCTTTAAACAGGTGACCAATTTAATCTAATGACAACTTTTCTATACTTAAGATCACTCAGCATAATGGGAGATAAATCTGTGATAACATAAAATTAAATTTAGGACATGCTATTTATAGACGTTTTCCACGAAAGGAAGTTAATCTGCGGCATTCAGCATTAAGGTCACTATTTTTCATTAAATTGTTAAAAAAGGTAGATTTTATATTTAAAAAAGTTTCACAATTAATAAAGTTTAAATCTTGAAAAGTTTGGAATGTTTTTATCTGGCATGCTGTATAGTTATACTTGAAAACAGGTAAGATAATCTATATTTTAAACAAACACTTAATTTTGTATGTATTATTTATACGTGTTTAAACATGCTAGATACTGCGGAAATTAAATTAATCACGTAATGTTTTGTAAGGGGATGTAACTGGTCTTTGCTTAGGACTGTCATTGAAACAGTTTGATGAATGAAGCATTTATATCCTGCAATATTACATTTTAATACATCACAGGATCGGGAAAGCGTACGATGTTTGACTGTTTAATTGTCTTTAATTTATCACTAGTTCTACCATTATGATGATTTGCTAAACCTTTGTTTGCACAAGTCTTAATATGGCAAAATGCGAACAAATTTACAAGATACACAGAAGGTAAGCGGATTTATAAATGCTTTGTATTATCATTTGGATGTTGCAAGCTGAACGTTAAAAATGATAATTTTCTGTGGTTGATGTATGCTATTTTTTCTTAAGGGAATTCTCCTTATTATCTATGCAAGTTTCGCATCCCAACCAGCGCAGTTTTCATAAAATCAAGTTTCATCATCGGCACATATTAACACGAAATGTATACCGGACTGGTTTCAAATTTTGTTTTTATTCACCTAAAGAATGGCAGATGTACGCAGTTTATTTTTATTTTCAGTTAATTATTTATTCTGAATTGAAGCGAGTTCACGACATTCGTTTAGATACAATGTATGCTCGAAATGTGATACAAGTGTTATATCCATATTGTATGTTTTCTTGCAAATTCATAAGATATTTTCTCTGAAACTTACTTTTAAGATAAATATATATGAAATCTTTCGAGATCACTACGTGACTAAAATGAAGTTGTATCACTTCCGGCGAAATCATTTTGTATTATTCAGGTTTTGTTGATTTCAAATTTGATCATGGACAAAGGATATAGTATAGATAAATGGACAAAGGATAGATAAATCATCATATAAAATTATAGAAATTAAACTTAATTGAAACAAATAACGATTAAGTTGAAAATTGCGTTTCCATAGCAAATTCATGCTGTACTCAATATAGTCTATATATTGTAAGAGTCCTAGAAACTAACAAGAAGTCATACACATTTATTTATTAAACTTGCAAGGGGTCAGGCAGTTGCGTTGCAAGAAATCATACAGTCATGGTATAAGACTTTATTCATATTTGGCAATATATTACCCTTGATGCTAATGTCAATATATCTTTGTTAACCATACTGATTTCTTGACGCTCATAGTGCATGTTTAAGGTAAATAAATACAATTTGACATAGCAAAACATTGTTTGGCATGTTTTTTGTCAATGTTTAGCTGTGTTATAATTTCATCAGAAATAGTCATAATATCAATCAATTGTCATAATTCATATCATTAAAAAACATAATTACTTATACTTGAACATATTTCCAGATGAGAATTTGCGTAACATCCAAATGAAGTACAGTTTGCATAACTTCTCTATACTATTAACATCATTTATAAAGGGAGATGACTTTTAAATTTAATAAGCGACATTATAAAATGCATAACTACCCTTGCGCAAAAACTAGAACATGCTATCTATAAACTTTTTCGGAGAAAGGAAGTTTAATTAATCTATGCCGAAAACTTGTAGGTCAGTTTCAAGAAGAACAACCAATTACATGTAATTCATTTTAATCGTGTAAAGGTCGGATAATAATATAGATACAATAAATAACTGCAAAAGGTAAGAAAAAGTCTTTTTGTGTCCTCGCGTTTTTACATAAACTATCGGAGAAAAAATAAGGAAATAAATCATACCATTTTCTCTTTATTGTATATTATTAGCTTACATTTGTGAGACGCATCTGAATTGGAATTAGAAAAGTAAAAAGTCGAGCGTTGCCCCGCCCACATTATTGTAATGTTACATGCGATATGTAAAACTTATAACTTACTTTTTGACGTAGTTTTTTTCTTGATAAAGGGAGTCTACCTTGTACTGTAAAGCTGTACAAATAGTGTGAAATTGCGTCCCTTTACTTAAGAAAGCGTATGTTGTATTGTTGTTATTTGGCTATATTAGTGATTCACAGTCATACTATTGTCACTAGAATCATGATTTTTTTAATGTGTACGTTTATTATTTAATTATGATCGGTGTTCATTAAAGAGTTTAATTGATTTATTGATTGTTGATACTTTAATGAATACGATTAATATCGGTTAACACAACAACTTTGTCCAATTAAATTTTATCGATTGGTTACCAATATTAATACATAAGAAATAGAATTATTTGTTTGCAGTGTAAAGCAGATATTGTTTTTTTTAAATATCAAAAATTAAGGTCACAAGTCAAATGAGATATTTCTTTTTCATTGGAAAATTAAAATGCTACACAGCGATCGATTAAGCAAAACACATAAATTGTTTTTCATTTGTGGTTAATTAAGATGTAAGTAAAATTTCGATATGCGCCAAATTGAATAATATAACCTTTAAAGTAGAAAGGAAGATAGTGATAAAAACTTCTATTTTCTGTATTCCAGGAATGGCCGTTTCAGGACGTAAACAAGTAGACCTGCTAGGATCAGTAGCAGCAGGATCAACGGAAGACTTCGATCACTGTTGTGAGCCATGTCTTACCACGGGTCAACGTATAGAAGCTCATGGCTTTTGTGTCACATGTCAAGAATACCTTTGTAAAAATTGCCACGATGTCCACAGAAAACAAAAGTCTTACTAAATCATCAAATTTTGCAGTGTAATGATTTTGATAAGTTCCAAACTACACGGAAATCAAACAATGAATGCACTGAAATGTGTCAAGTTCACAAAAAAGAAATAATCAAATTTTATTGTCCATCACACCATGCACTCGGATGCAATGATTGCATAACTTTAGGACATAGAACATGTAAAGTTGATTACATACCTGAAAAATGCGTAGGTGTCGCAGATGGGAATGAGTTCGATGACGTCATGAAGAAGCTCGACGAAAAATTAAAAGAAGCATCAGAAATTTCGAAGAAGGCTAAAAGCAGTAGAAGCAACATAAATGATTACAATAAAGAAATCATCAAGGCCATCACTGAATTCCGAAAAGAAATAAACGACCGCCTGGATCTGATGCAAAAAGATGCTTTAAATAATGCCGAGGAAATAAAGTCCAACACCAACAAAATTATTCAACATGTCCTTGATAAATGCGAAAATATGATTTCCGGAATAAAATGCTTGCAATCAAGTCTGCATGCAAGCAAATCAACTTATCAAGACGGTCAACTCTACATTGACATGAAACGGGCAGAATCTACGCTGAAATCAGATGAATTAATTGATGCAGAACAAACATTATTGCATACCAATATGCACTACTCATTTCAACGAAATGCTGAACTCGAAACATTGTTCTGTAAAAAAATGGTCTTCGGTGAGATTGTCGATCATTCTCGTCATGAATCTACATAAGTGACAAAAGCTGTTGATCGTCTAATTGTAAAAGGAGATATCAATGTTAAAACTTCATCAGATAAAAAGAAATGTGATATTGCAGGATGTGCAGTTCTCAACACAAATAAATTAGTTCTAGCTGATTACACCAACCATAAGGTAAAATTGATATCTATAGAGAACAGACTTGTGAAAGATGAGAAAGCTCTAGACTCAGCGCCATGTGATATTGCTGTAATGTCTCAGGAACAGTTTGCTGTAACAATGCCGGTAAACAAAGAAATAGTTGTCATGACAACAGACGACAAGCTATCATGTGTCCGCAGTATTAAAGTAGATAGGCCATGCTATGGTATAGACTTTAATCAAGATCGTCTTTATGTTGCTTGTTTGTATCCTCCTAGTGTGATTGTACTGAATACACAAGGTGATATCCTGAATGACATCCCACTGAACGTTCTTTCAAATTACTTTTTCCCGTATATTGCTGTGGGTAAGGATTCCAAACTTCTGTATATCAATGACCGTGGTAACAACAGTGTAGTGAGTGTATCATTACAAGGGGACGTTATAGCTACATATACACATACAGATCTTAGAGAACCACAAGGAATGTTGATGTTAGATGACGGGTCATTACTTGTCTGCTGTTTTAGTAATGGAACAATTCATAAAGTCAACGGAGACTTGAAGCAAGGGAAGATAATGTATAAAGGTGAAGATGAAGACCGTCTTCAATCAATATGCTACAGTTCACGCTATGCTGAGATCTATGTTGGTTGCATTGGAGACCAGTTGAAAGTTTTTAACACACAATGAACACTGTATTCATTTTTCATTGATTTGAAAACGGAAGAGTGCATAAAATTATGTGGTAATTGTTCTTTATTATAGAAAAGGTACAATTATAAAAGAACTTACAGGACTATAAGACATTTATTCCATTATTACTGTAACATTTAAACTTGTAAATTATGAACCATATCTTGATCAAACTTATATTACATTGATTTCAATGCACTGTAATATAAATGGTTTTATGTTAACATCAAATTAAACTCAAATATCTATGGCAAACGATGATATTTGAGCAAATTGTTAGCTCTACAAAATTATTATATTTTATATTAGAAAAGTTTTATTCCCTCGCTTAATGTATTGTATATAATACGGATGAAAGCTTTTATAACCAATACTGCTATGTGAGGTAATGTTATTTTTTAAATATCTTAAACATGACCATATATCTTGTCAAATGGTTTGATTAGGGTATATTTTACAGCTACAGCAAAATTCATTTATTTAAAAAAACTGTGTATATAGATAAAACGATTACAAGTGCGTAGTATTATGTAAACAATATTCTATATTGCTGCAAGCATCATCGATTAGCTTTCTTTACAGACATATTTCACGAAAGAAATAACGTTAAAAGAAAAAAAATAAAGTAGTTAAGTGTAAGTATCCTATGTGCTGAACAAATGGGTATTTCAGATTTTGTGTATAGTGTGATACAATACAGTAGTGCTTATATTTATATGCAAGATATATATACATGTATATATGACTGTAACAGGTATATTATTGTATGAATGCTTTAGTTAGCTGTATACTTATGAGCTAGAGAAAATAAAATTTGTAAAAATTGTGATATTTTAAACAGAATTGATTTATATTCTACAACATATAGCTCAATAAATTCAAAATTGTTGTTATTTTCGTAAAACTTCCGTGGCGTTTTATGCATTTATAAATAATATTCAACGAAAACTAAGAAATGTAACACTTTTAGGTAAAAGGGCAATAACTATCAATTGGTATATATACGTTATCGTTAGTTCTTAGATAATATTTTATTGTATACGTTATCGTTAGTTCTTAGATAATATTTTATTGTATCATAGGTTGGGGACCTTTCTGTTAAAAAATGTGTCCGAGTCAAATTGTATACATATTCATGTAGTACGTTCCCTGGCGTGCAGGTTTCCATTAGTAACCTGTACTCCAGAGCATGCCCATTGATTGGCTTATTTTTGCAAGGGTTTGTGACAGCAGGCAGCGTGTTTTTTATGTTTAACTATGATATAAAAGAGAAAGAACAAATCAGATAGCATCGTGTTTCGATACTCTTTCTTTTACTTATTACATAAGAGGTTGTTTTGTACATAACAAGCATGTAATTTAAACATTTTTTCTGTCGTCAAATTCATAATGATTTTACGAGTGTAAAAATGAAGAACTGATATATTATGCAAAATCACACCGGATCCATAAGAATAAATAAACAAAACATAATCAAATAAATCATACTTGGTAAGAGGGAAAATTGAAGTTACATTTCAAATTGGAATATCCGGTTCCAATTATAAAAGCCACTAGTTATTAGAAATAATCGGCTTTCCTCGATAACTTTCAAATAATAATCAATTTCTCCGCAATTTACCTTCTACCTATTTATCAAAAATTATGATTTAGGTGGATGCCTAATTAATGCCCTTACAAGTATAGTAGAAATCATACTAATAACCATCAGGCATCAGGAGCACCGCGCTATTAGGACCGTTACCCTGTTGAAAGCAAAAGTGATCATCCTTTGCCACCAGTAAAGAGGCAGGTCAGCCTGCTAATCCATACTGTTTGTAAACTAACATTATCTTTTATTATATAATTTGAAAAAATTATCGGTAAATGGAAGATTAAATAGTCCAATTCAGAAACTGTACAGCTTAAAAGTCACGTGGTGAATACAAAGTCATTAAGTGTTTTTGCAATAACATAAGATTAATCGTTATTGATTGGGTCATTAATTGATTTGACTAATTGATTGGTATGTGTATATTCAGGCTCACAGACATGTACATAATATTCTGATCAGATATATTTACACACAATTTTTATTTTCATGTCATTAATATTATTAGTAGTAAAAGGACATTTTTTAATCATGTCTAGTAGTTGATTTTAACAATTCCTATTGTGAATTATTTTGGTATAAGTTTTGTTCAAAATAATACGTAAGTAAATTTAATAATCATATTGAATTGAAAAGTTGCATCCTTGAAATATGTCACGATGTGCTACCGTCATTTAACGCATCCTCTAGTTTGCCCTTGAGATTTAAATTTCCAAAATTTAAATTGTCGTCCGATATTCTAATTTGATAAATAAAATTCTCTGTGGTATATATCAGCACATCTGTTTTCTAGTTCAGAGTATGTTGAAACACTGCTTTTGTTATTTCATAAATCACATTCTTTCTTTTTTTCTCGTTTTTCATCTTAATTAGTAACAGGAAAAATCAAAACCATTGGTTTCATTATCACGTGACGTGATTCCGTGACGATTATTCAAGTCTTTTCCTGTAACAACAGGTCTTGGTAAATGAACAGGTTGGACTTGGGAGGTTTCATTTAAAAATGATTGCTTTCTCCAAATCCTTTGCTGGATGCTAGGACCTTGGCTTTTGATTCTGGTAACCTTTAAACACCACTGATTGTTGACAGATGTGGCACTTGTTTTTGGCTTTGCTATTAATAATAATATAACAAAAATGTTTAGTAATTGAAATTGATATAAGAATCATGGAATAAACTCAATTTTCATATCATATTCGTGTTCTTATTGCTCCCGAGGGAGCACCACTTTTACGGATTTTCGAAACATATCATTAACTTATGACACTTATTGGTGCAATCACTTTTCATGAAATCTAAAAAATCAACTATACTATCGACAAAATAACAAGGGAACAAAAATATGTTTTTATGGTTTTGATTAATGTATATTCTTTCCTAATTCTATTTCAAGCTATTGGTGTAGTGGAAGTGACGGGATATAGAATACTAGCCGACCAATCAAAAATAAAGTTACATTAAATAAACATCATGTGTAAATTAAATGATTAAAGTCAGCATACATCCTTTCTGACAAATGAACAAGAAATATTCTGAGCATTTTAATAAGTATTTACAAGCTTTAGAAAGAATATAAAAATGTTGGAAACAGGCAAACAACTCATGTGTTTTCCGTCCGCTTGTTAAGGGTTTGTGTGCGCGACAAAAGGAAATTGGACACCAAATGACAAGTTTTAGATTGGTTAAATAATAAGACAGTTATTGTATGAAGAATCAACGAGTATCGAAGTCTATGGAAACTATAGAAATGTGTCACTTGAAATTTCGTGTAATATGCTGTTGGAAAAAATGTTTATGTTGTTCAAGGTGATTTAGAATGACCATTTATCTGATGACATAAAATAAAAATATGTTTGTTCGAGAACATTTTATTATATATCTGCTATATAAATACATATATGTAATATAGGATCATGTATGTCACACTTACCAACAACTTAAGTGCATGTATAACTATTTCATGGTTTGTTGTTATGTCCAATACTAAACACTATCAATGTAATTATTCATTGTAGTACAGACCTTCATTTTAACATCAAATCATCAAAAGTGAATAGAAAATAGGAAATTTTACCGATATTGTACCAACATTTTACCGAAATAAGAAGTATAAAGAAATATTCAAGAAATACATACCTCTTAAACGAGAACTTTTATATTTACAAATTCGTGACATCCAAAATAGAATGGTTGCTAAGTACATTAAACTTCCTATAGTTAGAGATGATATAACAAATATCACACTTTTGTTGTATTCGTCATCAGAACATTGGGTCTCCATGGTGATTTTGTCGTTTAATTTGTTCTTTGTATGCCAATATAAACAAACAAAAAACCATGAAAAATTTATAAGGAATATGTCTTTGCAATTAATATCTTTATTTATTTTACAGTTTAGTGTCAAATCTTTTCTTTAAACAAAAGGTTCTTTTTCTACGCTTAAAACGCATTTAAACGTTCTTAGCAACGTTAATATGATAAGATATATTTACATATATAGTTACAATATCTATGCAATAAAGCCTTAAAAATGTTGATAGCAAAGAAAATAAAAATAATCGTCGTCATTTTGAAAATATCTCTTGATTTTTATCTTGAAATGTATTTTAATCTGAAATATACTCGGGGCAAATACCCAACAGGTGTTCGTTTCTGCCAAAATTGCCACAGATGCTAAATTAAAAATATTTAAAGATATAACACAAGTAATATAAATCCGTCGCTGTTTTATAATTTAGTCCATGTACACAACCAGAGTTTATTCAAATTAGCAATATAAGTTTCATGCTAATTTTCATTTTCAATATAAGGTATATTGCTTTTATAATAAGCCGTGTAATTCTCCTCCAAACTTAGCAGTCTGAAAAATTCAATGTTACAAACAATCATAATTAGTTGTTTTTATAGCATATTTATATAACTTGTTTGGTGACACTACACACATTGATAACATTATTTCATTTATATAAAGGTGACACATAATTGTTTGATAGCGTAATTCTTATTATGGTTACAATGTATTGTTTTACAAAACATTATAATGCAATGTAAAATATAATAAATATTAAAGTAAAAATAAAACCCATGAATTCAATTACATTCGTCGACAATAACTCGACATTGTTGTAAGACAGTGTAGTAAAGAATATCAATATAATATGACATAAATATGATTTTGTTTTACTTTTAGTTAACATATATCTAATCTTAATTAGATCATATGATTAGTTTGCTTCTATCTGAAGATAAAACGTCACGTGACATTTATAAAACAATAAATACAGTAACAGTTTTTTTTTTATAATATATGAAAAATAATAATTATAAATAATATATGTTGAATCTAGAACACTTTATTATCTGCTATATAAAGATATGTTACATCGGATATTGTATCTCACACTT